TGTGCCAGTATCTTTTTGTTAGTTGTGTCAGGGAGCAAGAATTGAATAATTCTAATTTTTTTTTTCCTTTCATTCAAAACAAGTAAAAGGATTTACAGCAAATGCGATGGAAATGTCAGTTCGGCGTGGGGGTTTTTTTGGCAACTTCAGCTGTAGTTGAGAAATGTTGAAAAGTTTTTACTTCATTAAGGTTTAATAGATGCTTCTGATAAATTACAGAAAACGCTCTGTGATCTGAATTACCCATGCCTAGTTAGAAGATGTTGTCAGTCCGTTTTCCGTAAGACTTGCTCCCTCCTGAAGGGCAAAATACTTTCACGAGCCCAGCTGTAAAGCCATCGCGGCGTTCTCCGTGAGACCAGTGGTAGTGGGCACAAAGCTGAACCGGCGCCCTGGGCTGCAGCTCTGCCAAAACAGACTTGCGCTTCTTGTTCTATTAAAAAGAAAGTAGGCCAGAAATCAGTTTATTCCCTTCTCAGCATTTCTTTGTAGAAAGCAGAAAAGCAGCTCGCTGTCTAGATGCGTATGTGATGTCTGTATGGCTTGAATTTATGTTCAATAGCTTCAGTGGAGCTAGAACATCGATCGAGTATGACAAAGCAAGAACGATCTCATCTTCTACTTCAGTCAAAACAAAGATGCGATGCTCTTTTCCTGCCCCTTAGTGATAATGGAAAGGGGAAATAATTTAAATAATTTAATGGTTGCATTTAAAACAGGTCCTATTGTTGTGTGTGCAGTTTATGGTACCGAGCAGCCTAATACACCAGTATTTAAAAGTAATACAACATTCAAAGGGGCATTGTGCCGCTATGGAAAGTGGAAGCTTATTTTAAATGAAGGTTAAACTGAGATTTATTCTATGAACAGTTTGTGCACATGGGTCAGGTTCCTGGCATGCAAATGTCTGACTTTAGCACACTGGATGGAGCCCAAGGGCTCGGTGTTAATCTCCAAGGCCCTCCCCAGGGCTGGCGAGATGTAGCGCTGTGAACGGCCACCTCTCGATGTTGATGACCTCTTGGATCGGGTATGTCCCTCAAGAGCTATCGAGCCCAGGAGAGAAAGTGCCCCTCTGCAGCGGGGCCAAGGATCTCACTGCAGGGGGAGAAAAATTCTCAGATCTTTGGGACTTTCTGGAAATCATTTCCACAACTGTCAAAGCAAGGAGAAAAAAGAGGTGATGGCCACGAGGAAGCGACAGAGTGGAATGGAAAGGGATCAGTGGAAAAAAAAGAACTAAGTATACCTGTGCCTTTGTAAACTACATGCCAAGGTGGTCGAACACCCGAGCATCGTGAACATGCTGGCCCTTTTCAGGCATGGACTAAGGGAAGAGTAGGGGTTTGTACCAAGATTTCTGAATGAAACCCTCGCCGCATGCACCCGTCTGTGCTCCCTTGCGTGCTGTAAACCCGGCTGACCTGCGAGCTCGGGGCGAGCTCTTCGTCCCCCGCCTGGCTGGGGCTGGGTTGTTACTGCTGCGGTACCGCTTTGCAGATAAACTCTCTTTGGAGAGCTCAGCTAGCTGCTTGCTAAACAGGCCATTTTGTTCTTCAGGGTTGTTAGTCTGGCACCTTTTCTGCACATTAAATTCACACAACACAGCATTTAAAAATAAGGGAAGCAGATTCTCTCCGCGCCTTGTGCCTAACGGCAAATCTTACTCTTAACATAAAAAAACTTCGCGTCTTCCGTTGCATTGGCTCTGTGATTTAACATTTGGGCTTTGCAGTGCAGTGGGCAGACTTCAGCAACCAAAATCTTGCAATACCCTCTCATGTGCAATGCCCCAGGGCACCTTGGTGTGGGTGCCGTGAGGAGGGGACGGCCAGTGATGTTGGTTTGTGGAGTGCCAGATGGCATGTGCCCAGGGGACCCATGACCAGAGGTCTCCATGGGTCTGGTAGTGGCAGGACCAACGCTCAGGATTTCATGGCGGCTGGTGGTAGTTCCTTGTTCTGCAAATTAATTTGCCTTTTCTTCTCTCTGGTGCGTGTTTCCCACTCGGTTCCTTGGCCGTGTCCCAAACCCGCGTGTGCTCCTGTTGGTTGTGTAGCAACTGGGTTCCCATCCCTGGCTCTCTCTGATGAGTCCCTGCCAGTGAGGACATTTCTTTCACATTTTCATGCTACGTTCCTGAAGTTTTGGTGGCCATTCAATGCTATTTGCTCAGTTGAGAGAATGAAAACTGAAACTGCTTACAGCTTCCCCCTGCCCCCAACATTATATTAGTTTTCCTTTATGAAGGCCAATTACTTTCATTAACTCTCTCAAAAAACATTAGCGGCTTCCCTGGCAGAGAGATTTAGATATGGCAGAACAAACCTGCTGTAGGAGCAGCACCTTTCCCACTGTGAATACTAATGACCAATTTAACGGACGGGTCCCTCATCAGCATTTCTTAATACCTGGAAAAAGAAAATGAAGTCATCCGCATGCTTCTCAGTCTTCCAGGGACCGTATGAAGTAGTGAATGGTCAAAAAGCCTCAACTTTGAGCAGACAGAGAATAAAGCTCAGTGCGTTTAAGAGCTTTAGGAGGCATCTAGCTCAGCTGCCCGAGTTGCTGTCTGTGGATGTAGGGTCTCGCTGCTGTGAGCTGTGTGTTTTCTCTGCCTCATGAGTAAAGTGAGTCCAGAGGGGCTGTAAAACCTCTGGATCCAGGCCAAACCCCTGCACTCACTGGGAATCTTTCCATCGCCCTCACTGGGGCTTGGACGAAGCGGTTCAGCCCTGACACAAGCGGGAGCGTGCATGAGACGGGGGAGACCTTCCAGGATCTGTTTATCTCAAATATGTACGTTTTGCTCTTGAATATTGTGAAAGGGAGTAAGCAGCTCCTTGGCTGAACAACAAATTGGCCCATCAGGATAAGAAGCCACCTAGAAATTACTTTGTCCCAGAAGAAGCATTGCAAGAGAGGGATGGTGCTTCAGAAAAGCATGGGGTGATGAGCTTAGACCCACGTCCCCAAACCTCGCTTACCTCAACCCGTTGCATGTCCAAGGTGAGGTCATTTTGATGATGATGCCTGAGCTAGGAATGCCTTTGTGCCTGCTGGCTACTTTGCTTAGATTAATCTGTGTTGCGTATGTTTGGATATTCCAACCTGGGATCAGCCACCGCAATGGTCAGCCAGCTACTTTCCTTTCTGTTGTCGCGTATAAAGGATCCCTAGAAACTAGCCTCTGTTTTCCCGAACAATGAAAATGCAAATTAAGAATGTCAGCTCTGTACCCAAAAATAAGATTTTGAAACCATTTAGCATTTCACAGTGGTTCAGTGACAACTTGAAGACTTGCAGTTGTCTCTCACGATGAGAGACAGGCAGAGTTCCCAAGCTCAGATCTGAGCACCAATGAATGCTTTATCCCAAAACTTCATAATATATGTGTTATTTGTAGTGCTTTTCAACTTCAAAGAGCTTGAAAAAATATTAATGCAACTTCACAAAAGGCTTCTGTTCTCACTGCCACTCTACTGATGGGAAAATGGAGACGTGCCTGAGTCTGACTGGGGGCTGCTGGGGCTCAGCGTGCCCGGACGGGGTCTGGCTGACAGCAGGGCCATGGGGAGCCCCTCGTACCAGCACAGAATTGCTGGGCAATTCCTCGAAATGCTTGAACGTGTCATGATTTCAGATCTCTTTAAATTTATCAGAAAGTTTCCATTCCAAATTCTGTTTTTCTTTAGAATTGTGGACAGCTGAGCATGCAGGGAAGGACACTTCAGTTTCCTTTTCTCCTGCTTTTTAAAGTATTGGGTGAAAAAGCTGCAATGTAAAACACATGTTTTTTTCTGTGGGGGGGGGGGGGGGGGGAATGCTGAGCAGAATCTGCAAACTGAACTGTAAAAAAAAAAAAAAAAAAAAAAAAACACTCAATGTCTTGGTGCTGTAGGACCGTGATGGTGCAAAGGGCTTGACTGGAGGGACTGGGTGAGCACATGGGAACTGGGGGACCCCCAGTCCCTCCCCAGTGCTGCAGGCGGCCACAGCAGAGCCCTGTGAGGACTCTGCAACGCGACCAGCCTCCGCAGCATCCCCCGTCGGCGATGCCTCGGGTGTACATTTCTTCAAGCATGCATAAACAGCGATGTACTTTTTTAGTATTTTCAGGGCTGACTCTCCTGGGTATTTTAGTGTGTCTTTCCTTCTTTGCAGCTACGAAGGATTTTTTCCTAAAATGTAGTTTTATATACACGTATGCAGTGAGCAAAGTGCGATATTCTTAAAAAGCCCATTCACAAGGAACAAATGAGAACTCTGTACAGTAAATACCATCCAGAATTACACTCTCATTCTGGACCTAGCAGAATTTGATGCGCCAGGTGATTCATCCATCAAAATAATTTTCCAGAAAATCATGGTACTGGAAGATTATGCTTTTTATTGAAGGAAAACGTTGCTCTTAATGTTCAGTACTTCTTGGCTTTGCCATCGAAGTTTAAGCAGAACAAAACCAATGTATCTTGTGGGTTTTTCGTGCTTAATTCTAAAGAATGGAACTGCAGGGTATAAAATTGTAGGAGAAATTTTTATCCCAATGCTAGGCAAAATTGTTTTGGTTTTTTTTTTGTTGGTCTTTCCACCCCCCCAAATTTTAACAGTTTAATAGAATAGCATAAGGATCTCCAACTTAGTTCAGAGTGGTGAGCTAACCCTTCTTAGGGAGGAAGGGGAGTACAGCATGAATGGGGAAACAGACTTCCCACAGAGCTAAAATTTCTCACTGTCTCTCTCTGACCAAGTGAGGTGTAAAAGCCCGATACCCCTCACGGATCTACACCCAACATCATCTCCCTAAGCGAGCTGTCTTTGTGGCACGAGCTGTCTCACACACAGATTTTCCCCAAACTGCATCAGCACAGGGCATCCCCAAATTGGCACAGAGCAGTGCCATTCATCCACGACCCGCGCTGGTACTAAATGCTCCTTCTGCTTTCTTAAAAAAAAAACAAGAGGGGGAAAAAAAACCACAAAAAAACCCCAATAATTACAATTGAACATGCCTTGGTTCAGTAATGACTTTGTTAATGGAGTGCACATTGTATAGTGAGACCCAGACATTTTACAAAATACAAATCTTTTCAGAAGGCTTTCTGGATTTTTTCATGGGTGCTGGGAACATCAGTGCTCCGGTTCTGCATCCATGCAGGTCTCCCAGGGGTTCTGGGGGAAGCGAGGCAGCGCAATCAGGAGGAGGGTGATGCCGCAGATGAAGAGCAGGACGAAGGAGGCGCAGGCACAGGCGAAGGACCAGGAGTAACTGTACTCAATCCAGACTGTCTCCTTGCTGTCAATCATCCTCTTCACAGATTGTCTCATGACTTCAACAGAAATGATGATGCAGAGACCTGGAGGAGATAGGAGCAGTGGGTTGAATAACCACCTGTCAATTTTTCATCCTTAATTAACCACCTCATCTGTCTTTTTTGCATACAGGAATTGCAGTGATATTCACAGGTGAGTCACTGACTTCGATGTGTGAAGGAACCAACGCTCGCAGCTGCTTAGAGCTCTGCTCTACCGCAGGCCGTCCAAGTCAGCCGGTGACTTGTTGAGTGTGATCTTTTAGGCAGGCTTGGATGGGAAACTCAAAGTGGCGGAGGAATAATTGCATTCCCTAGGGAGCTTTTCCAAAGGTTGAGTAAGCTTTTTGTTGAGGTGACAATTTGCACCTCTGTCTTTCAGTCACTGTGATATGTCAAGGTATTACGAGCTCGTGTAAAAATGCGGTCTTCGTGGTTTTGGGAGACAGCAGTGTGTTTTGGGCCTGGATCAGCTGTTTCTTTGGTTTGAGTCTTAATAAATGAGACAGAATAGTGTATATACCTGGCTTAGACTGGGGCTGGCACTGAATATGCTAGAAATGCCCCTTTTAAATGTATTTGGAGAAAACATGGACAAGCTGCTGGGTAATGCGTGCTAAGCAGGACATGTTCAGCTGGAGCACCACATAGGGACTTGCAGTCTGACTGTGGCTAGGAAGAAAACTCCACTTTCGGGGCATTTTTAGAAGTGTCTCCATCCTCCCAGGCTCTATCTAAGTTTCTCTGCTTTGTCCCATGAATTGAGTGCAAGTATGTGAGCACCGAGCCTCCTACCTGCGAAGGTGTAGAACATGGATGCTGGCTTCAGCAGATAGTCCATCTTCTTCCTGAAGGATAAGAGGACGCAGATTGTTCCGATGATTGCAAAGCCAACGCTGAAGATGGCAATGGCTGCAGCTGAAATGCTGTATTCTGCCAAAGCAAAACAAACACCAAAAAATGCAAATGTATGCAAATTTTGAGCGTGCTCCCATCAGGCGACTTTGCAGTAGGTCACCCCGAGAAATATGTATCCTCCTCGCTGCTGTGGAGAGGTGGCTTTGGTGAATTGAGTATTTCCCTCAAATAAAAGCAGTGGCAAGTATTGGCCGTGTACCTTTTGAACGCAAAGGGTATAAAACCAGAGCAGGAGGAGGGAACGCTTTCTGAACGCTTACAGAAAGAGCAAATGGCACCTCTGTTGGTCAGATGAAGCTCTAGGCTGGAGTGGTTTTAGCTCTGCTGCATCGATGTTATTGTTGAAGCCTTACTGGGCTCCACACTCTCGTTTCTTCCATCAGTCCACACTCAGCTCTCAGAGTAAATGGACAGCTCTAGGCTATTTTTATTCCACGTCTGTGTTGCAGAGCCCCGACAAGGCCCCCGTGCATGGTGCCGATGTTGTAGCGATGCAGAAAGACATCTGTATGCTCCATAGGGCTCAAAATCTGAGCAGGCAAAGCAGGCAGGAGGCCAGAGGTGAAGTGTTTGCATAGTACTTTTTTTTTTTTTTGTTTAAGACAATGATTTCCAGCTCTGTGAAAACCCAGCTTCTTCAGGGCATAGGATTAAACCCTCCATAAAATGTTGTGGTTTTTGCTAAGCCAGCTAAGATGTGTGCTGGACACTTCCCCCAGCTGAAGCACACTTCAGTGCCTGAATGGAGGGGAAAAATTGCTAATTGAATAATTCAGGCCTTCATTTACATATTGCATTCGTTTTCAGATTAGTTTAATATTTAACACATGTAGCCATGCGTGAACATCATAGTGCCTGATGATATTTGCCTTTCAAGCCATTTAAAAAAAAATATCTCCCAGGCAAAATCATGAAGAATTTTTTTGCCTGTTACTAATTAGCTCCCATCAAAATGTAGCTATTTCTGCGAAAGGGAACAGTAGATCAGTCTTTGTTCTCATTGCTTTTCATACCACTGTTTTATTATAATTTCCTTAATTATGTTTCCTTAATAATGTTTCCCTTTACTATGTGCTGGAACTGCCTGAAAGTTTGTTTCAATGTAAAATCTTTTGCTGGGGCTTAAGCTTTTTCTTTTGCTTCAAAGAAAAGAAATTCTTCCTGATTTTTTTTCTGAAATGACGAAGGCGTTATTGGGTCCATTTTTAAGATCAGATGGCTGGATCTGGTAGTATAAATGAGCAAAAGCAGGTAGTTCAGATATATGCTCTTCTAGCCACTTAAAATTCCCAGTCTTTTCTGTCTTAGGAAACTGCTCTTTTAGAAAACTTGTGTGCAGGGTTTTCCACCATTATAATTTCCATGGGAAGCAAAGCAGATTGTTTAATATGTGTAATGTAATCATTGGTTCACTTACTCTACAGCAAAATATGTTGTGTGGCAAACTAGAAAGGAATTTGTCCTTAATAAGAGGATGAGAAAGAGAGGGGAGCACATTAGATGAGTGTTAAAAATATTTGGCTTTATCAGGGACTTCTTAGAAACATGGAATTTGTCTGTGAAAGAGTGTTTTCAAAAATCCATGCTTTGTAAACGCTGTGTGTGTGTCTTTGTAGGATCTCTGTTCCTTCCTTCCATTGATCACTCTGCTCTTTACATGACTTTCATATAAAATCAATATGAAGCATAAAATTCCTAATGGTCTTCACAGAGTCTCTGTACTTCTTTTCAGGGTCAAGACTCTGCTTGGGGTAGGATTTATTAATTTAGATTTTATTAATGTCTTTTTCCTTTGATGGCAAAGGCTCAGTGTGTCGCGGATAGTGCCAATGTTGTAAAGTAATTTTTAGGCTGAAAAGACTTTTTGCAGTTTTCATGTGCATTGACATTGTTATATATTTGTGGGACAACTTTAAGTAAAATCACACTTATGAGTGTGATCGTATATAAAAATTATTCCTCCCAGGAAGCTGGCATTTGACCTTGTTCAGAGCATTTTTTTTTACATTTTTCACAGCTGGTAGTATCCAATAGAAATTCCTCTACTGCTTTCAGTGGCACCAGGTTTGAACCCGCATTTTGGGAACGCCTTTCCCTTAGATCTTGTATGCGCCTCAGTTAGGAAAATATTTTTCAGGATCATTCTTACCTTTCTGGGTGGTTACTTCAAATATCTCCGAGCTCTGTCCTGGAGTGAAGTGCTTGAAGTAGGAGCAGTTGTGTTCTGAAAGAGAAAAGGAAATTTAATTTTGTGTGCTTGGAAACTTCTGATAAAATGTAGTAAAACTGAATTTGCTTTTTATTGATGTATCAAATTTGCAATGATTTTAAGGTTCCCTACCCTTGGTGATACCGAGAAATTGGAGTTGGATCTGTTTTATTTGGGAGCAGGCGAGTGGCAGGAACATGCCAAGGCCACCGGCTCCAGCACGGACGAGGCTGAAGCCCCCCCGATACCTTTTGCGGGCTGCTCCCTCCAAGAGCTTTGCGCGCTGATTGCTCATCTATCAAAAATACGAATTACAGATCATTTCTCTCATTCTGTCTTTGGCCGTCACACGTGTCTGCCTCTCCGTGTAGCTGTATCTCCTGGCGATGAGACCCGCCGTGCCCGCAGCTGGGCTGGCATCTCGGCTCGCCTCCCCTCGCCACCGCCAACCCGCTCCGTAGCGGCGTCGGCCGTAAGAGGGTCGCCGCTCCTGGGGCGAGCTTGGACTCCAAAAAGGGAGGATGGAGTGTCCGCATCCACCTTCTCCTGGCTCTTCCCTCCTCCAGCTCGCAGACCCCTGCGTGGCAGCGGCTGGTGGTGGGGAGCAGCCGTGGGGATGTTTGCTGCGTGGGGAGGGGGTGTCACCACGCTACGGGGGGGTCCGAGAGATGAGGCTGCTGGAACGCAGCAAAGCACGTGGTGTTTTGCTACGACAGGGACGCTAAGGGCCTTTTTTTGGCTGTCGGTAAAAAAAGGCAAAAGCTATCGGAAGCCGCAAACAGTTGTCCAGGGAAGGGAAGGCTGAACAAAGCCATTCGCGGCAAGGGCAAAGAGGCTCTCACGCAACCTGGCTTTACCGAATTTCACTCCCATCAGACCGGTCGATTAAGTTAATTTGATAAGACAGCATAGCTAGATAGCAGGGACTTTATGAAGTTCCTCTGTCTGGATTTAAAGTGAGCACGCTGCCAGGTACATGGGGTATTTATAGAGTGGTTATGAAGTGAACAGGGATCAAGATCGTGGGGCAGGGGGATACTGGGAGGAGGGAAGTTTTAGCTGAGTCTCTCGATGGCCACGATATCGTTTCGTACTCAGCCTAGTGGGAGTCAGCCAGCGAAACGATGTCATTGCTCTCAATAGCTACAGAGGAGGCTTTCAGCCTCAGCATCTCAGCAGGATGGGGAAGGGTCTGGTGAGGACCTGCTGACTTGAAGCTTTGGGCAGCAGCAGGGTTAGGGTGGAAGGTGTTCTCGCTATTTATAACTGATTTAATTGAGGGTTTGAAGGGGCGCGGAGCTGGGAGAACAGTTGCTCGCCAGGAATTTGGCTGGAAGGGTGCAATTGCAGAGACGCGTCGAGCAGCGCCAGCTCTGATTGCGCTATTCTGCTGAACCGGGCTGGAGAGGACACGCTCAGCGCCTGCCCAGCACCCCTCCTGCATCCCAGGTTGGACTCCCATCAGACCGGGAAATCGTGCCAAGATTGCACAAAATACAGGCACTGCCCGCAGCAAGGGGCCACGTGGTTAACACCAGCATCTCTCGTCCATTAAGTAACGGAGTTTTAGCACCAGTTTGCAGGAGATGCTGGGAGAAAAGTCTGGGAGGACTTTGTGGTCCTCTCCAGCATCCAGGCTGGGACAGGCTGCCCCAGTGCAGGTCCCGGGGGAAAAGCCTGAGCCAGGTCCCAGGTGCAGGACCATGCAGGCTGCACTGAGGGTTTCTGCACGCTGTGCATTTTGGTGGTTATTTACAGCATTAATTTCTAGGGGCAAGAAGGTACCAGCGTACTGTGTGTTACCTGTTGGTTCTTGTGGGTTTTTTTTCCTGTTATGTAAATGGCAGATGTTGGAGTTACTGATTCGAGGAGGATTTATTTTCTGTCTCCCAGGAGATAGGCAATTGTAAAGCAGCGTTTTTGGGCCCGTTAGTGGAAGATTCCTTTGAGACTGTCTTATCTACTTAATTTTATAAGCTGACTTTTATTTCATCTGCAGCTTCTCCTTGCTGGAGACTAGGCTAATGTTCAGCTCTGGCATCTTCTGACCTGTTCTTTATTATCCTTGCAAACGACTGGAGGAAACATTTGAACTCAGACCTCTATGAGTGAAATAACATATTTTGAACCCCAGATAGGAGGCTGTGTGCCTCTGCCAGCGACCGAGTGGTGGCCGAGGCTGAGCATCGTGTCTGGTGATCCCAGTTTGGGGATCCTTTGGCTCCTGTGCTAAAGGGGAGGGAGACGGGATGAAACTGGGACGCTTTATTTTGGATTGTTTGGTTTGGCTTTTAATTAATTCTCTGAAAAGCCTGAACTCAAAGGAGTCCCCAGGCATGTTGACTGTACAAAGCCCCAGGTGAAGCCATCTGGACATGGTGTGATGGGGGACACAGCACAGCTTCGTGTCCATTGCAGGTGAACCAAACCAGCCCGGTCCACCCTCCGGTCCGTGAAGGCTCATCACAAGGGGAACGCACAAAACCTTCTTTTAGAGATGGACTTGTCTGCAGGAACAGTGCTGCCTCTGTGTCTTGTGGCTTATAGCAAAGCTTTGCCAAGGTATGATGAATGGGGTTATCACAGAAGTGGGTTAGCTCTAGGGGAGATGTTTTTGGCAAATGCATTTATTGCTGAAAAATACAACTAGATTGTTTTTGGTGAAATGATAGATTGTTTTAAAGATGCTTCAGTGCTCTGCTGAGCTGGGAATATCTGTTTCAACAAGGCTCCGTGTTATTCAAGAGAACTGAGGCACTTCAATACCTCTCTGGTGCCATCATGAATAAGAGAAAAGCCCATTTGTGTCACACCACATTTACATAATGGATAGGATTTAAAATGGGGTTTATAATGGATGAAAACTGTGTGGTAATCTTTGTTTCTCTCCACCCCTGATTGCATTATCTCTGCCACGAGGTCACCTCAGCGTGCTGATGGGAACGGTCCAGGGGCTTTGTGCATTACGGCTCGTGTGAACTTCAGGGTTGTAACGTGGTTTATCACGCGGTGTCCTCCCTCTTCCAGGTCACCAACATTTACAGCCCTCATGGTCCCTTTCCTTCAAACCCACCATTCCTGGATGACCGCTCTGCGGGGGGCAAACGGGCCAATTCATCTTTCCTCTATCCGTGCGGAGCCAACCTCTCCTGCCGCTCACTGCCACAGGGCTGGATCCCGTCGGAAGCGCAATCCCATCGGACTACGGTTGAACCTTGGAGGTCTGCAATGTGGAGACCTCGTGGGGGAAGAAAGGGCAAGAAAGGCCACGAGAGGTTCGGGCCATGCCGAGTTTTGAGGTGGCAGCTGTCACCCGTGAGTGTTGGGGTGACAGGCTGGGAGGAAGGGGCTGGAGCCCACCTTGCTCTTGAATCTAGCATGTGGGGTTTTGTGGCAGGCTGGATGGTTAGAAAAAAACCTGGATTCTGCTTGAGTTAAGTTTGGGAGGCAGGACTTGCTGCTGAGATTAGAGGAGGTGTTCAGGTGAGGGCTGAGCGGTGGAGGGGGCCAGACCTTGGGCTCCGACCGGGCCGTTGAGCCAGGGAAAAACCTTTGACACCCACGGAGTTTTGGAGACGGTGTCTCCAAACAATTTAATTTCATACCGGTCTTGCAGAGTGAGTCTCTTGTACAAGACAGCCCTGCTGATAACCCGTTTGCTCGAGCACTTTTCCTCTCCGCTTGCCTGAACTCAGGTTCCCATATTTACAAGGACCTCTTTAACCCGCCGGCAGCACGCGCAGGCTGTAGAGCATCCCTGCTGCTGCTGCCCAGCGTGCCGGCACACGAGAGCACAGTTTGTAGGGCAGCACCTACGCTGGAGTTACTGGCAGCGAAGGCGAACTCAGTTTACAGCTGGTAGTAAACTGCCCCGGTGCCCACTGACCACAGCTACAAAAGTCTCAGTATTAATCTGAATTTGCCTGGTTTTAACAGCCATTTCCCTGATCTTTTTATTTCTTACAGCAGGATGCTGAACCCTTTCCAATTTGTCAACATTCTCGGAAGAGCACTGTAAAATTTTAAAGCTCTGCCTAAATCACAGTCCTGCTTTGTGGACTGCGAGCCAAGTCATCCTCCCCATTTTGCCCTGTGCTGAGCTCAAAACCTAATAAATAATGTTAATCGTGCCATCCATTTCCTCCTCAGGGAGTGACTGGTAAATGGTTATTAATGCAGTGATAAATTCTTATGTTTCTTTTCCAGTCCTGGCAGTAATGTCTGGTTATGTCTCATGATTTTCAGGAAAACCAGTGCCCACATCTGCTCTTTTACTGCATGTTTGTTCATTCACATTTTCTCGACTGCTGCAGGTTTCACAACCCTGGTGTTTCCCTGCCGACATCTCTTACCAGAAGTGTGAAATCAATCTAACGCGAGCCGTGTGGACGCAGCATCGTTCAGCAGCCCGGATCCGCAGGGGCCGTGCTCTCCCCCCTCCGACCCATGCTGTGTTCCCCGCATCAGTAAGACAGGGATTAAAATACTTATATTATAACCCAGGTGCAAATTTCACCCTTTGAAACCTCGGATGCTGATTCCGACACAGGATGTCATCCAAATTCCCAAATATCTTTAAAAACTGGAAAACCACCTCCAGGGTGGGGCGGGTGGCTCAGCCCCTCCATCACCACCCAGTTATTTGCTGTGCCCGCCAGAACAGCAACGCTGGGACATGATTCAATGCCCGTGCAAGCACATGCTGATGTCTGTCAAAGATAGTAGCTGCTTTCATGCTGCCCTGCCTGCGAATCTGCTTTTTGCAGACAGCTGGATATTTATGACTTTTATATTTACCCCACGGTTGTGCAATTTTGGGTGTTTATCCACCAATTTCTATTGTTTTTCATTTTGTGGGAGTTTTCCTCTGCGTGCGAGGAAAGGCGTACAGTGAGGAATATATTTCTAGGCTCGTAAGTACCTTCATGAGAGACATTAAGTCTACAGATGACACACTCCCAAATTTGGTTAGAGGCAGATCCAAACGCTGAGGCTGAGCTCCTCTCTTCAGAACATGTAATTTGGCCAAAGTGATAAAGAATTGCGGTAACACAGGGAATACACAGTAAGCCCAGGCAGCAAGATTTTTCACAGGAAAATTTCAAATATGTGTTAACATATATATTTCATTTCAAGCAGCGAGCCTAACGTGAAGGCAATCCTGTTATTTCTGTTCTGGAAAGCATCCAGTACCCTATGAGCCTTCTAAAAAAGCAGCGGAGCTCAGTCACGGAGGGAGGGTATTAGTGCATATGGCGCGAATGTTGCTGACTTTGCGATCAGCAAAAACATAATGAGCTCCTTTTACCATGGGAATGTAACGGTCTTCCCGGAAAGCAGCCGTGCCCGCTCCCCTGTTGCCCTCCCTATCGATTGCACCGGCGGAGCCCGTGGTGGAGACGTGTGTGGGACCAGGCAGCCTCTGCCGAGAGGTGAGGAGGCTCAGTAAGTTGTTGAGAAATTGCTTCAAACTCAGTTTATGACTTTTTTTTTTTTTTTTTGGAAGTTGGCAAGGCATACTGCAGGTCCCTGTTCCTCCCTGCCCTGAGGAACGGTTGTTACTGAAATAGCTTGGAGATAACCTAATGCCAGCCGTGAACAGGCTGTTCCTTCATAGCTAGCTGGATCTTTAGGACTTCCAGATCCAGCTATGTATTCTGGACCCATAAATCCTCTTTCTTGCCTGCTGCCGTCAGCGTGCCCTCGTGCTGAGGGACCCTTGGCTGATGCCAGCAAAACCTCCTCCATCCCAATTTCCCTCTGCGATTGCCACCGTGTCCGATCCTCCTCCCCTTCTCCCTGCCACCGTCGTTGTTGCGCTGGAGACTCCAATATGGTCACAAACAGACGTGCAAGGCAACACAGTGCGCGCTTACAGCAAGAGAGGTCACAACGAGGCGTGTTTGCAAACCAGCATGAAAACAGCCCCATGCAGCCCAAATTAAGTGCCACGGGAACGCGGACCCTGTTTTTCCTTCTGCCACGTCCTGCAACGTCCTAAGCAAAGCCTGGCGTGACCCCCTGGTGCTTTCTCCCGTGCATCGGTGGGGTGGTCACCTACCTCCTGGCAGGCTTATCGGCCCACAGCCCTTCTCTTTGGGACCTTGCTCCCGCATAAAAATCCGCTTTGTACAGAGCCGCCATAGCCCGAAATGAGCCGCTTCGCAGGTGGCGTTATATTCCTCCACTTTGGGGCTCAGCACGGCCCAGTGGTCAGTCACTACGGCTGCAAACAGGAGCGAGACGCCAACCAGGATCACGGAGAACGTCAGCCGGACCTTCAGGGGTTTGCTCTCGTCCATCCCGCTCCAGACCGGCGCTCCTGGCGGAGCACAGCGGGTGATTCGCGAGGTCTCTCGAAATCCTGGCGCATCTGAACGTCGGCAAATGTCAGCTCCGCGCCGCCCGGGGAGAGCGGGGCGGCCGCAGACAGCTGCTGGGCTGTGTCAGCCGTAGCGTAGCGAGGAGGCTATTAATGCACGTAACGAGAGCAGAGCCTGGCAGAGCTCAGCTTTCTGCCCCATCCCACCCGGTTTGGTCTGGATTCCCACGAGCCGAGCGAGCGGGCGCTTGCCCAGAGTCGCTCCAGCTGCCGTTCAAAGGCTGTAATCTCTTGACTCGCGGCATGCCCAGAAATAGGCATTAATAGGGTGATTAACTTTTCAGCGAGGTTATAAAAACATCTGTGTTTATAATAGCGCCGGGCCTGAGTTCAGTCTGATCCTAAATAGTTTAATAGCCCCGGAGCCCGCAAACTGCACGCCTACGCCTTCAGCTTGCGGTGGCCCCTGCGAGGAGTGCAGAGCTGGACGTCCCTCCAGAACTGAGCGCCGTGGTAAAACGAGCAAGCTTAATTATTTTATTGTTTATTTTTAATATAATTATTTCAACTGACCTGAAGTATTCTGAGTAGTCAGGGTTTGGGTTGGGTTTTTTTTTTTTTGGGCCTCGTGCCTGTTTTTTCTAATGCAAAACCTCTCGAGTGCTCGCTTGCTTTCCCACCATCCAGGCTTGCCTCGATGCGTACAGTAACTCCAGCACCCACTCGGCACATCCTTTCCTTCTTTCAGAAGTGACTTTTGTCGCCCTGAACCCGGATTGCTGGAGCTGGGGCCAACCTCTCTCCTTCCCTTTGATATTTCAGCTGATCGTAAAGTTAATTTGATGATAATGTCAATGCAGAGGCCACTATGGAGATGACATTACAATTGCGATGTCAAACTGAGGAGGATGACAATACCTGAATGTCAAAAGAATGGTTAAAAAAATGCCAGTGGAAAGCTGCAAATATCATGTTATCATGTCAAGATAATGTCAAAGCTACTCCAGTCCTGTTTTATGAATACCCCAATTTGATGTCAAAATAGAGGTGCAGAGGTGTCAGCTCAAATTAATGAGGACAATCTGAAGCAAGGAGTTAAGGTGAAAGGGGAGTGTGGGAAAGGGAGAGAAAATACAGAATAAGTTAAAAAATATTGATCCGAAATAACTGTAATTGAAATATGACTTAAAGGGGTTGACATTACTCTGCTTGATGTGTGACAGGGCTGGCTTAGACACCCCCGGGGAGCAGGGTGACGTGTCTGAACCCGGTACAGCAGCTGGTGCCCCAGTCCCGCCGGGGAGGTGGGAGCTCTGGGAAAGAGCGAAGGTACGTGGTACAAAATGAGAGGGGAAGGGGACTGGGAAGGGCACTGGGGAAATGGGGCAAGGCAGGGACCGGAGGCCACGGGCACATCCGAAGGAAGCTGCTCGTAGCCTTGTGTAGGACTGCGATGTGCCATGTTGGGGCTGGGAGAAATATTAGAGGCTTACATTTAAACCAGAACCAAGAGTTCTTGTGAAAGCGGAAAAACCTGAAGGGAACAGACCTTAAACCAGAAGAGGAATGCATTAAAAATGTAATGCCTTTTCTTTTGAACTAGTCTCTTGTTAAATTTCTCTAGACGTCAGTCGATCTTAGGAGCTGCATCCTGACTTCGCTTCCTTGATGCTACAAACTCCACAGGTCCTCCGCAAGTTGGGCAGAGGAAAGGGAATGTGACTTTGCAAATACGGGCACAAAGCAAGGTTCTGCATGCTGAGGAAGCAAGGGCTAATGATCATGCTTTAGACTAATTACAACCTACAAGGACTGCAGGGGTGGGAACCCCTTAGTATTTTTGTTGGTGTTTGTGTGTCTTCCCAGTGTTGGCAAGAATCATGCTTTTTGTTCTCATTTAGGTCCTCTGATCTGACTAAGTTCCTCAGGGTTTGGTTTGGTTTTGAGTTTCCTCATAATATCTAGGAAACAACTAAAGCGAAATCAGAAGGGAAAAATTCTTCCTTCCCTCCCTTCCCCTGCAGAGCGGAGCTGGGAGCGTGAACGAGCTTTGACGAGCTTCAGCGTGAGTGGCAGCAGCTTGCCAGGAGACTGAAAACTCACATTACTGCAGCTGAGGTGAAACATTGTCCCCAGTCCCCAAAAAGTGACCTAGAGCCACCGTTCCAAGGGAAAAGAAACTATTTTGTGGGGTTATTGCTCCCCATGGGCTCTGTGGCTTTGCTACATGAGCTGATGTAGCCGCATCGCAAGGATGCTCCTGCCTCCTCCTCCCCCCAGCGCAGGCTCGGTGTGTTTTTGGGGACTGCTGGCAGGTATTTGGTGATCACCGCTTGCGGCCCCTGCAACCGCCGTGGCGAGAGCCAAAAGGCTCCTCTGGCCATGGGCTGAGCCTCTGTCCCCAACCGGGGAACTTCTGTCTCAGTGTGGAGGCGAACTTGCCCTCACTGGGGGGCTGGTGGGCATCGATGAGCTGCACCCAAATGACAAATGCAGAAGCAAAACTGGTTTCTGGAGGAGCAAAGGACTAAGGGAACCCCACAAAGTTTTCTGCACATCCAGAAGACCACGATACCTAATCCTCTAGGAATGGTTCCTGCAGTCTCCCTGTGTCAGCTGGCAAGTATTCACATTTAAAAATCAATATCACATGAAATATAAACAGACTATTAATGAGGACCTGTTGGGAAGCAGGGAGGGTTGTAATTAGTTGCACTTTAGCAGCAGTGAGTAAGAGACACAATTATGTTTCTCTACTGGAGAAAATGCTGAAGGAGGTGTCTCAAGACCAACTATTGCATTATTTTTTCCCTAGCAGAGGCATTGGCTTGGCTCTGCTCCCCAGCACTTGCACTTTTCTGTATTTCTTCCAGACCAGCCTCAGTATTTACCACAACCAGATTAACCAAATTCTGTGGTTCCCTTCTTGCAGAACGATGTTCTGTAGAAGACCCTTCCCAGGTGAGAATAACCCAGAGCAGAGGAGATCGTGCCTGGTCTCCTCGCAGCTCAAATGCATCTTCAGCAAACAGCTTTCTTCAAATGAGAGCTCCTGAGCAATATTCAAGCTCCTGAGCCCGCATTGCCCCAGTGTGGTGAGACCACCGTGGTCATGGTCAGCTCTGCATAGCTGATACCTGGGAGTACTGCCAACGGCACCCTCCAAAAGCTCCCTAATTCTGGGGCTGAAATCCTGCCATCACTGAATGCAAGAGCAAAACGTGCATGCATGTTTTGGTTGGATTTTTTAAAATTTTTTTTTTTCATAGGATCCCATGGGCATGAAGAAAGAGATGCGATCCCGCACCTCTGGACACAGCCCAGCCTTTTCACGGCAGCAGCCCCATGGAGCGCAGGCAGGGCTGGCCATCCCCGCCACTGCCCGCACGTCTGAGCCACAGCTTCGTTCTCTTAAAATACCCGACGGCCGTGCCGGGTGTGCCGTCTCGGTAAGCGATCCCTTCAGTTCTGCTGAAGGAAAGCGGTGGCGGCTGTAAGATGAGCCGTTTTGCAGACAGGTGCAGAGCACTCTTCATTCCCTTTTATTTTCGGCACCTCCCATTTCGTTAGTTTTCTCATTCCAAGGAAATGCCACATCCTCCTCACTGGACTCTTCTTCCACTTTCCAAAGCCTGAAGGACTCTGTCTTTGCTTCCCCCTCAAACAACATCTCTTTTTAATACCTCCCTGTTGGCAGCGGGGCAGGCGCAGCTCGTCGGTCGCTATTTACCCACAGGCTTGCTCGGCAATGGGGGAAGGGCCTCTATTTATTTTAGTTCAAGGCAACCAGCTTTGGGCTTGAGCTTTAAATGGCTTCACTACTGGGTGTCGGAGGCATTTGAAAAGATGAATCCCCTGCCTCCCTCCAGACATGCCAATTGATTGTACGTACGGGGAGAGGCAGGCAGATAGAGATACGCAGGCAGTCTTCATCTTTAAAGACAATCTGGAGGCTTGGGAACTGGGAAGGTGAAGTTAGACGTACATGAAGACAAAATACTGTCTCTGATACAGAGATGGTTCGGGGTGTCTGGGAGCGGCGAGAGGCTGCCGAGCTGCCAACCCGTGTTCGGCACCGCTCGTGCCATCGGGATTTTACGGTGGTGATCAGAGCAAGGCTTTCGTGGAGCTTCAGCACGCAGGGTCGAGCTTTCTTCGGGAAAAATGGACAAGATCAGGGAGAGGAGGATGCTCGGAAGTGAATTCATGTGAAACCTCAAAAGGTGGAGGCAAAGCAGATGCTCAGGGCTAGCACTTCAGAAGACACTGGCTTATTTTTCTTGATGGTGGTTTGCGGTGCCTCTAGCCACCACACCAGTCTTAAACCAGGCACTGAAACCAGAGTGTGTCTCATACGGGCCAAGTTTAAGCTGGAAACCAGAAGGTTTTTCTTAGTTTTTAACCCAAATGACTGGAAATATTGTGAAGATAGCTTATCTTGGAGATTTTGTGGTCTGTGAGACCACAAGAATAGTTTTTTCTCCTCCGCTATATTGGCTTCCAGTAACATTCCCAGCTGCAATCAAAATAGGTAGAAATGTGAAAAAATAAACACAGAAATCTCAGCTCAGAGAATTTGGAAGTTAAAAATCTATATACCTTTCTCCACACAAAAATGAATACATTTAAAATGGTTTATTTAAAAAGTAAGGATTAAGTACATTATACATGGTTGTGATTATACCAGTAGAACTGAAGCACAGTGGAAATAACACTTTAGAACTGCAGACAGAACTGTAACCTCAAGGGACATGATATATTAGCCCTTGTGGATATGTGATCCATACAGAAAGAAAAGGAAATATAAAAATAGGTTATTGTTAGATGTACGGGCATATGAAGTGATTTCTCCTACTACTCCTATTGTGTATGAGAAACTAGGAAGAGAGAGCTGATGATATACCTGAAACTTTGGTTTTTGGAAAATTCAATCTGATCCAATAGCAATTTTTTTTTAGGTCTGCTGTTACAGTATGTTATAGGGTAATACCAAAAGACTGATTATTGTTAATGATATGATGATATCTGCAGGCCTTGTTGAGAAATGGGAGGCTAGACTGTGTTTGATGCTGTCCAGGGAAGCCAGAGAGATGTGAAAGAACAGATTTTTATTTTTTTTTTTTTTTTGATATCACTGAGTGGTTTCAAAGTCCAGGCACAATCTAATTCTATTAAGATAGATCAGCCATGGAGCAAGACACTGTTCATGGGTAGGAATGCTGCAAATTTTTCAGCTTTCTCAGAATCAAAGTTTTCCACAGGAAAAGACTGATTTTTGGAGGATTGTTTTTTACTGGAATTGTCAAATGAAACAACATTATTTTGCTTTGGTTGAACAAATTACTGCACTGCGATTTGACGTAGACCATAAGTTCTAAATCGCAGCCCCCGTTCTCCCACAGGATGAAAGCTCTGGTCCCCGTTATCTCCCTGTGCCTTTGTTCCCTGTCCAGACCTTGTGTCCCATGAGCATCCCATGAATACTCCAGCTCCATTTTTCAAAGGTGCCTACTGGAAAAAAGAGCAGATGCTCCGGCTCGAACCGAAGAAGGGCATCGCGCTTGGAGAGCTGCTGAAACCAGCCCTGCTCCAGCGGGAGGAGGCTCTGGCAAAGAGGAACATCCCGAAATGCTCGGCAAGACGTTTTTTGCCGACGTGGTGTAAAAATACTGCATGTGCCTCTGCAGGTGTGACCCTGGCTGTAGAAAAGCCTTGGGCTTTGGCTGGAATCAGATGGTTGGTTTTAAACACGTTGACTGGAGAATGAGGATTAAAAGAACAAAACCAATGCGCGAAGCAAACCTCACACTGTCGGCTTCCAGCTCAATGGACATGAGTTTAGAAAAACAGCCTATATCTAACTCCTGGTTTTAACGGGAATGGTTTTATTCTTAATTACAGTAAACACGGATGAGGACTTATTTCTAACTATTAGTTTATTAACACAGTGGGAAACAAATAGTTCTGGGAAATTGCACTTGAAAAATACATTGACTATAATTAGATGTAAATTAATTAGCACTTAGTATGACACACTAATGAGACAGAAGGTTTTTTTTTCATTGCAAACTTCTACTTCTATCATAGCTAATCAAAGTATTTTAATATTACGAAGTCTCAAAAAGTAGGAAATAATTTATTGTTTGAAAGCATAAAGATTCTTGTAAAAAAAACCTTTCATCAAGAACTTTAATAATTTTAGAACTCTTTTTTTGTTGTCCTAGCCGAAAAGTAGGTAAAAAAGTTTTCTTGTCTGCCTCTGTTTGAATTTTTTTAAAAAGCTTGTGTAACATCTTTCTCCATAGTGTGTTGATACAGAAAGTAGCACAACATTTTCTACTTTTAAATCGTTCCCATTGCTCCATTCGCTTTAGCTCTCAGAGTTCAGAGGTTTGAAAAAGGATCCCAGCAGAGTTTTAACCTGAATGGAAACTCTTAATAAGCAGGGATGAAGGCTCCAACCCACCTCTGCCAAAATAATGATGTCGCTCTGCCAGGCTGAGGGCTAGGCAGAGCTTGACAGCGACTAGGGGAAGACTTTCATTTAAAATTGAGAATTGTGTCTTGGTTCTTGCAAGGAGAGAGGCTTAAGCAGGGTTTACCTGGGGGGGCAGAGGGGGTTCAACTTGCTTTTTGGGATGTTAAGGCAGCTCCTCCGGGATTTCCCTGGAGGACTTGGTTCCACTAGCTGAAAGCCTCGTATCCAAAACATCGCCGAGTCACTGATGCTGCGGCCATCGCAGGATAAATTAAGACTAAAGTGGTTTTAACAGTTTGGCTGAGATCTCCCACCATCAGTGAGCCAAGCTTTCTAAATCATGATTTTTTTCTTGTCACCACTTCTCTAGTCTTCTGGTAGCCAAGATTTTCTGGGCAAAGACGATGGGTATATTCAAAGGAATCTACAGGAATTAGATGCTCCTCTCTCACTGCACCTAATTCATCCACGGGGAATCGGGTACTGCATTCTCATATGGCTTGGTCGAGTGGTCACTAAAATCAACATGAATACTATTCAATTAAATTACCTTTGAGTCAGGCCCTCGAGCTTTGAGATTCCAAGCCTAAATGTAAAAAATGAAAGCAGGAATTTAAAAGAAAAAAAAAAATCAGACTTTTAGAAACATACAGAAGCAAAGGGTACAAATTAGTTCCCCCTTAGGTGATGCATAGAGTTTTCTGTGGGCTCTCTGCACGTAAGTAGATTCATCATTACAAAATAAATTAAATTAGGTCAAACCATCATTTCCATCTAAAAGCAACTATACCTTGCACCATGCGGCACTTATTCATAATAAAAAGAGTTTAATAAATATCTCATAAACGGTGATTATTTTTGTTCTATTTTAAAAAATACAAAGTTGTCATCCATTCTGTTAACACTCCGTTCCCATTGCTGCAGGAAGTTTTGCTAGTCCGAACGTATTAGCTTCTCATTTTCTTACGCACATTGCTTAGATATCTTAGTTTCCAGTAGCGTTAGTGTTGCACTTGTGAAGCAGTAAGGAAAACAGGAATGCAGTCGCAGGGAACCGGCGGCTTCGCCTGCGTGGGCCACCCCGGCTCGGCTCTGCTTCTCGCTCTTGCTTTAAGTAGTCTATGGGGGGTCCTGACAGACAGCACTCAGCACCTTGCCGGATCAGGCACTAGGGCTAGTCGAAATGAGAATTCAAGTTTTCTAAACGTTAGGCAAGAAATGATATTCGCAAATATGCTCAAGTCCCACCTACTTTAATTCTTCCCTTTCTAGGTGTTTCAAGATGCACCCACCCTCTTCTCCCCCACCTGCATTGCCCTGAGGGACGCCTTACACCCAGAAACGGGACACCCCCTTACCACCCCATCAGGGAGTCTGTAATGCTCAGTACGTGGGTGCTCTACGGTTTCAGTAGCACAGGTCAGTTTTAGAAAGTGTTGCCTTCAAAAATATTTTCTTTTTTTTCTTTTTTCTTTTTTTTTTTTTTTTTTGAAAGAGGCAAAGCTTATGCTGTGTCAAAGGAAAGTGGCTCACTTGATGAGTAGTTCGTATCCATCCTTGGGCTTGGTTATAAATTATATTTGCAAGTTTGTATTAAGGGATGTCAATATTAGAAAAAAAAAAAGTCGTACAACAATTTTTCTGTAATCCTGTAAAACACACTGGTGGCAAGTCCTTTGCAGTTTCTCCAAGACTTTGTACACACTACAGAAGTGCAGGAACATGAACTGCCTTCATCTCGTGACACCAAGAACTGAAAGAAACAAACTCCGAATAGCTTCAAAAAAAGCTACGAGCATGTAATATCATCTTTAGGTTGGTCCAGAGGATCTCCACTTGCTACCTCAACACATGTCACAATTAAAGAGGTGAGAGGGTATTTTAACATCACTCCTTCTCTTTCATGACATATCCATTCTGTTTCAGTATTTCTTCAAAAAATCACGAGGAGGGAAGATACTTCAAACAGGCGTTGTTCTCCTGTTGACCATGTTGACATGGAGTCCTTCCTTAAATTCCTTCTGAAGGAAGTTGTGAACCTGCAGAAAACTGGCTTCTTGGTCTGCGTTGTAGCTGGCAGCCGTCGTAACCTTCAAAGGCTCTCTGGAAAGAGTGTACATGGAAATTTCGTTCATGGGAATGGTGCTTGCTATCTTCATGCCAACCGGAGAAATGTCTCTAGATGGAGAAGGCTCTGTAGATCGAGAACTGGATCTGGACCTCCGCCTCCTGTACCGATAACTTGGCATCCTGGCATAAGGAGAACTGGAAGAAGTCTTAAGGAATTCCCTCTTGGTCTTAAACCTCAGCTCTTTGTTCTTCTCAATATAAATGTTCACAGCCAGAACGCCTATGGTTTCGGCCACAATAAAAGACAAGGCTCCAAAATAAAAGGACCAACCATAGTTGTAATGGTTCTTTTTGTCCTCATCTCGCTTGTCACTTGGGTCACCTGCATTGCTTGATATGTAGACAATGATCCCTATGATATTACTTAGTCCTAGAGAGAGAAAAACATAAATCAGTGGTTATGTGGCTGGGAAGACAAAATTCAAGCCACATTACTTTCTGGACCTGAATGGTTCAAAGTTTATAACCAGGAAATTTTATTACATTTATGTACCCTTTCATTTATCTCAAGATTTCATTTATTTTTGAAAAACAAAGAATAGATCCACATCTGGGTCACATATGCTTGCGTGGATTCCAAAATATTCAGCAGGATTTGTTGCTATTTCTTCATTGCCATGGTGGGAAAGAAGTAGCATATGGGAGCTCGCTAATATTGTTAGTGGGATTCTAACATTGAGAATAATAATAAAAATACATTTTGAGCTCAGGGCTATGTCTGTTCACCTTGATCAAGATAAGTTCTCTTCCACCTTGCTGAATTTTCATCTAAATGCAGCATGCTTAATCCAAGCTTCAGGGAAAGCTATTAACAATGTGGCTGACTCTCTCAGAAGTTTCTAGTGTGAAAAATGGGCTCACCTATCATAGGTGAATCTTTTCTGCCATCATATAAAAGAAAAGAAAAAGGCCCTCGATGTAAGAGACACCTGCTTCATCTAACATTCAATACATTTTAAATAGTGTAAAACCTGCTTGTTACTGACTAGCTTCCTTTTTCAGGAAAACTAAAAGCTTTTCTAGAATATACTTATTGTAGAGCTTCAAAAACATATTTTTGTCTTAAGAAATTTGCCTAGTGTGATGTTGCTGGTGCCTTCGATCCACGAAAGGGGTACAGGGAGAGAACTGCCAGCAAGCTTTTCCACAGTCCTGTTCAGTTTAAAAAGGCAGCACTTCTTAAGGACTCAATTTAAGGAGAACATACCTGCCGCAACAAAGAGAATCCCAGCGCTGAGAATAATATTGTTTTTGCTGTTGTAAATCCTTCCTGCTCCGACACAGAGTCCTCCCAGCAACAGCAATATTGTGCTTAGGATGGGGAACACACTGGAGGCACGGACAATGCCTGGAGGGGAGACAGGTAGAAAACCAAGACGGACAGTAATGATTTCAGATGCCTCCTCGGGTGCAAGTGTAGAGATTGCAAAGTCTCAAAACCCCTGGCTTTTGCTGGAATTATGAGTGATTCTGCATTTCTGGGTGTGTTTTTGGGAGCCGAAGCCACGGGTAGGTGGCCAACGTGGCACAGACCCTCTCAACTGAGTAGCTTAAATCTTTTGAGCTTTCTCCTAGGAAGTCCAGCGTTATCGCCATTATCTGATGCCACCGCGTGCAGAACATTTCTGGCAAAGGATGAGGTAAGTGACAGTAAGACCCAGCATCATGCAGGGAGCGGCAGTGAAAAATTCATGAGCTGGCTGTGAACCCTACAACATTTAGGGATGGCTTGAGCAGACGGATCTGTTCTTTGGTACATGTGCAAGGTGAGCAAATTACAGCTCTTGAAGTCTGCAGCATTCACGTTGCCAGCGAGCACAGCTAATACCCCCTTTTTCTTTTGCTGAATACTAAGGTCATTGAAACCTTTCAGATTTCTAAGGAAGAAATTTTAACAAGTGTTTCTCAGATGTTTGTGTTTAGTTTCCTGACAGCTAAGTAGAGTAATTTAAAATTCTGTATACTTCAGTCCATTCACCAGTGTGGGCTATAAAATCCCTGGAAAAAAAAAATATTAAAACACCACTTTAAGCCAGCTTTCAAAGTTGGGTCACTACGAGACTAAGCAGCAATCAAAAGGGAAGCAGCAGTGAGGGACCAAAAGTGCTGAGAAAAAATAAACAAGCACAAGAAGAGAGATGTCTGTGTTGTAAAAACCGAAGGGGTAAAAGCTGGTAGGCGTTCCTGAAAGGCAGAGTGAGGATCCGAGGTCTATTGTTATACAGGGAGGATTTTTTTTTTGAAGAAGGGGAGACGAAGTGCTGAATACTGCTGTGGAAAACAGCAAACGGTCCCCAAAGCTGGGGACCATGGAAAGGCAAAGGCGCGGAGGGGAGTCCCGGCAGGGTGAGCGGGTGCCGGGGCGTGCGGCTGCCCGAGGCGGGTGGGGGTCAGCGGCCGCTGTCATGGAGGGGTGGAAACCCCACAGCACGCCGGGAGGACACGGGCACCCCCAGGGCTGAGTAGGAGAGGAGGAAAAAACCCACCATCTGGCCCGATCTGCTGATGCGGTGCCATTAGCGATGCGGTCTCTCCCGGGTGCCATCTTCCTGGCTGACATGCACAGCGAGCGGCACCCGTTTCCCGAGGAGAAACGGCCAGATGTTACAGCTGATGCTTTCTCATTTTACTTTCGATGGCCGCGGCGTTCTCAATTTAGCGAATCGCTTCCTAACGATTCCCCTGGTAACTGGTGGCAAAACTCCCGCTGACTGCAAGAGGGACGGGGCTGGGCATTTAATAACGGCGTTGCTTTTGCGTGCGCCGCAAAGCCCCCGGGAGCCCCAGCTACGGGCCCAGCCCTCGTTAGAATGGTGCAAACATAAACCAAAAAAGACAGTCCCTGCCTGGGAAGCTTATGCCCGTATCGATCTGCAACGGCGAGAAAAGTCCGTCTTCTACCAAAACTGGCAACGTCGCTGCACGTGGCCTTTACAGACGGGGCATTTTCTAACCGGATCTAAACCCAATTCAGTCGGATGCATTACTATTCAGACAGTGTCTTGCGATAATTGGCAAATCCAAGTCACGAGGGTGTAAGGTCTCTGATCAAAGCCCGTTGAGTGCTGAGAGCCTGTTCTGTTGCCCTGGGTGTATCCCCATGGGTGTGGTATGAAGTAACAGGGCTTTGACTTTTGGGTCAGTTTTTAGAATTATTAGTCAGTTATTAGAAAAAGATTCAATATGTCAGTCTCTGTGCTGCTGGACACGAGGGCACCCCAAATCACTGTCTATCTGTTAGTGCCCTGGGAAAAGGCAGCACGGACTTAAAATCTACAGTGGCCCATCCTTTCAGGTTGTTGTGTCCTCTATTTTATGGTCATGCTGTTTATAATGATTTCTATTAAATCAAAGAATGATCCTAAAATGCTTCAGTGATATCATCAGAAGGAACTTGCCAGACACGCCAAATATGGGGGGGGGGGGGGGGGTTCTACTTATAGCAATAATCTCCAGAGATAATTTTTCTATAGTAGGTAATCAATGTGAAGAGAAACAAAACACACAGTGTTATCTTCGTGTAAAACTCTACAGTATGTTTTTTCCTACAATGTGTACTTTTAGCTCTGAAATTTAAAAGGAAGCTCACAGGTACCATGTAGAATTTACATATGTCTCCTGATACTGGTAATAAAATGACAGCACATCAAAAAACATTAAGGCAATCTGGTTTTTGCTCTCTCCCCCGCTTTTTTTTTTTTCTTTCTTGTTTACCGTCCTGTCTGTTTGCATCGGCTGTTCTGCACTGCTATGCGTTGTGACACCTCCTTCGGTGAAGCGCCGCAGCATGCCGTCCTCCTCCTCCCCACGGGGCTGCAAGCCCCGGCGCTCTGCTCGTGCTTTTATTCTCCTCCGAAAGGCAGGAGCCAAGCACACGGCTTTAAAAAGGAGATGCTATAGTATGCGGGGAAGAAGTGCACGAAAGTATAGACATGCCTCTGAATTGGGGTCCCCGGTCCCCCTCCTCAGGGCTGCGCTTTTGCGGCACAGCAGAGCCCCGACAGCCTCACGTGCGCGGTGAGGATGAGTACGGCTGAAATCCCCCTCTTCTGCAAAGGGAGAGGTGCACGCGCTTCGTGCAGTGCTGGGTGGGAGCAGCTTCGTTTCTGCGTGCCTGCAGAAACGCAGGAGGGGAGGAAAGCTGGAGCACACGTGGGCGATGCGGGCGGCAGCCTTGGGGACGGCATGGGCTTTCTGTGCACGGCAGCGATACCTCTGCCGCTTGCAGGGGCTCTACAGAGTCACGTGAAGGGGATTTTATTAAGACGGATAGATTGGCGTGTGTTGTCACAGGGAAGGTTCAATAGGAGGGGTCTTGTTTGCGCTCCTTTGCACGTGTTAGTTGTCGCTGTGGCTGTCGTTCGCTTGGTTTTGCAGGGAGCAGCCTGAAAGCCGAAGGGCAAAATCCAAACTCCTGCTCCTGCCCACACCCTGGACCAAAGTCTCCTAAAATCAGTCATTTTTTCACTGACTTCAATAGGGTTTTGAATGAGGGCTCGATTCTGCTAGCACCAAAATGTTTACGTTTATCTGAAGCCTATATTAGATTGGTCACTGTGGAGCAGGCTGAGACCCCTCATGCTGCTCTTTCAGGAGCACAAGATGCACGTAGTGTTGGTGCCTTTGTCTAAGCCAGATGGGAAAAATAAGGGTTACCCCCAACATGACCCTCCGAGAACCTTGTGCCAAGAAACGGCTAAAAAGGCTGGTGAATGATACGGAGACAGCAGGTTGCAAAGGTGTTGCACAGAGGGCAAAAATGGGACGGAAGGTCTCACGTCTCCTTTGAAACAGGATGCAAATATCCTCTTGTCTTAGACAATGATTTGGTCCCTATTACATATACGTATGAGCTCATCTCTTCTGGATTTAGGTACATAACCTTTCAGCAATCTCTAAATCAACCGTATGCATTTTAAGTGGAGCTGCAGTTTTTCTTATAAAAGTTAAAGCAGAGGAGCCCTGTTATCTGTGCAGACTACGTGAGGATGAGCTCTCCTCTGCGGGGGGAGCAGCCGAAGACTGATTTTGCAGAAGACGTAAAGGCGTTGGACCAACTTGTTTTTAAGGTCTGTACTTAGTCACTGTTGAAAACAGCTTTTAGGAACACCCGTCACAAGTACACTTACAAACAATTTACCATCTCATGTCTCACTGTGGAGCTGTAGACTGTTTTTCCCAGTTCCCCCTTTTCTCCAAATAAAGGCGGCATAACACGCTTTTATCAAGATGCTACTTAATTCCTCTTCCCTTTACAGTCTTTTTACTAATGATGTTTCTTTCCTAAAGCTGACTTGGCATTAATTTAACATTAGTTCCAAGGCTTTGTATGAGAGATAAATGCAGCTGTGCTCACACTCTGCTAGCCTGCCTTTGCCTGAGCGCTGAAATCACGTCACCCAAGTGCTATGACTGATCTGAATTGACAAGAGTAAAGATGAAAAAAAATCTGCTTTTTCTGGTAAAGTGTACTTTTCAGAGATTTTTTTTTTCTTTCTTCTTGTCTTAGCAACTAGAGGTTGTTTCCCAGAAGTGAGCAGAAGGGCAGAGCGGTTCTCTAAGTGGTGTTTCAGGTAATTAATAGCAGTGTAACGGAGGAGTGTTTTGTCTTGCTGGGTGTATCAGCCAGCAGTGTCATTCATTGCTCCCTGAAGCTTTCCCAACACCTTGTGAACTGCAGTTTCTTTCTCTGGTAAAGGGCACTGCTTTCAGCTTGGCTGGTCAGCTCTTTTGTTCAAAAGGACTAACTAGGCAAGACGTCCTCAGGGGAAGGGGAAATCTCACTCAAACTTTGCAGGATTCATGAAGTTTCACACTCGGGTTCCAAGACTTCCTATCAGCAGAGCGAACGGTCATCGGAGGAGATGAAACGATTGCCCTTATTTCAAGCACCAGGTTGGTGGATGAAATTACTTCTGTGGCAGATTACACATCAGCACGGAGCAGCAATGGCTGTCTGTCCGTGCAGGGAAGCCACAGCCCATGTTCACGCTGAGATTTTGCTGTTAGCTGCAGAAATTTCAGCTTCCTTTCTACAATGCAGTAATTTCACTGCAGGGGGAGGTGGCTCAGCAGCTGCAAAGGATGAGGCTTGCATAAGGGTTGGGTTTAAGCATTAGGAAAAGCTTCCTAATGAGCTGGAACCCACTCCTCAAACCTGGTTTGATACACTTATCAGATAAAGACTCCGTCTGTAAAATATCCTCGTCAACCTGGGAAAGATAGCTGTAGTTTTCATTTGAAAATTTTCCATATAATGTTTAGAGAATGGCCACCACAATCATGAGTGTTGCCCTGGCTGAAGGAAACCCTTGAAATGGGGGTCCCCAAGGGTCATGGTTGTGTCAGCTGCAGCATGAACTGGACATATGTCACCAGTGCTCTCCGCCACCCAGTTTGGGCCAGTCTCTTGCAACGGATAAGACTTAGGCTGCACTCTACAGAAGAGAAACCCAGGAAAATCTCTCTGGCCATGTCTGTTAATCCTGTGTATTAGGTATTACTTTTCACTTACGGAGAAGGTATTCTGAGCTGTCATGGTCATAGTCATTGTCTTCAGGGAAGTGGTTGATTCGGAAGCAATGTCCTTTGTAGATTCCTACACGAAAACAAAGCAAACATAACATGTAAGGAATAGAACCAGGTAAATGCGCTTCTGCAGCTGTGCTTTATTTCCTTTTCCTCCCAGGCTGCATAAGTAAATTAATCTCCTGTAGGGTTGGTCACTGATTTTTTTTATGCCATCAGGAAACCATCTCTACGGTCATGAATTTTGGTCAGATTCGGCTGAAGCCTAGCTGAAGGAAGGGAGAACCAGGATTCCCGGGCTCTTTTCTTCAGTCTGCCAGTCATATCGTTCTCTTGAGTTTTTTAATCTCTCTGTGCTTTACTTTATCAGTGCCGTGCTTACCTTACAAGCATACCAAATTTGCAAAGCTTCTTTTTGTTCCTAGAGTGACTGTCACTCTAGGTCCCTGCTCCATGGCTGGGGCTTCACAGCAAAGCCAAGTGCCAGCCTAGTGCCCATCACCCCTCCTGTCTCATCCCCAGTGAAGTGCTGGCTTCTCTTATCGGAGCTGGTAAATGTTGAACTGTCTGAGGCCTCTTCAGTTACTCTCTAGGCTCGGAAAACAAGTCCATAAATCTCTACCTGCTGTAATTTAAACCCATATGTCCCCCTCAAGGTTGGCTCAGCTTTTAATGGCATATTTGTTTAGTTAACCAGGAGCCTGCGCAGTAAGTCAGGGCGCGAGGGTGCACTCCTGATACCTGACAGAACAACGCCAGAGCCGGCCGTACGAACCGCTCGCTTGACTGAACAAGGTGAGGTTCAGCACTTAGTCCATCTGGGTAAAGCTTTACGTTAGTATTTTGTATTATTTTCTATCACGGTTATCCACAGCCACATCCAGCCTTAGCTGCAGTTGGGTAGCCGAGACCACTGTTGCACAGGGACCTCTCCCCAGAGACCTTCCTGCAGGAGCAAAGCCCCGAGGTGTGATTCTGCCTTGGTGCTTTCATTATTCATTAACCAGCGCTTTCGAGCTCAGGAACATACATCACCCAGGATGAGTTATCCTCTGCACAGGAGTTTCGATGCTCACAGCTCGAGCTGGCAGAAGGATTTAAAAACCGTCAGTTAATACTACTTTAACAGAAGCACAGCTGCGGTCTGTAGGATATAAATGTGGATTTATTTCACTACCTATTACCGATGATTACAAAGATCTCAAAAGAATTACTAATCTGGAGGATTTCAGTTGCACCCTGTGAGTGTCAACTGCAGGTTTGCTACTACAGTGCATTTAATTCTTCCAGTAAATGATGTATCTACTCTAATTGCGGTAACGACTCAGGCTTTCTCTGCACAGCACTTCAAAGGCTGTGAACAAGAAGTAAGTGGCTCACGTCACATCTGGAAGTGACACACCTGTCCTGTCTGCCAGGCGGAGGAGAGCACTTCAGCTGGGGCTGCTCCTGCCGAGCATCTTTGCCCGTGCATCCCTCTGTTTGCCATCAGCTGGTTTGTTGCTCCTGATGGCTCTCCAGCAAGGCAATCCAAAATTCAGATTTTTAAAGATCCCAGTGCTTATTTTTACGGCGGTTCACGCAATGAAACTAAATCACTCCCAGCATAACAGGGCCTCTGAGACTGGCTGGTCATTTCTTTAAGTCTCTTCATTATGGTGTGCCAATTTAGAGGAAATACATTCAGAGTATGATTTTTATCGTCTCCTATTCATTAAGGAAAAAGTCTAAATAATCTTCTCACCCTAATTTCCTATGGAAAGAGGCTTTTCAATGACTCTGTGCTTGTGTGTGTATAGGTAGGGCCATCTCTCAGTCTGTATGTACTTCTCCAATAACTTTTAAGGTAGTTGGTTGAATTTATCCAGAGCTGATGATACACAAGTAGAAATATCACAGGTAACTGAGCTCCCACAACTTCTGTGCAAACACGTAGATGCATGAAAGAGACAGCTCTGTCCACCGAAGGCTGCTTTGTGAACTTGAATGTTCACAGAGCATGGACATGGGCAACAGCCCAAAAAAATGTCCCACTTCCAGAAACTCAGTTAAGAGACAAGAAGTCAGCAAGACTGAAATGTTCCCCAAGCCTCTGGTGTTTGCAGCACTGATGGATTGATGGAAGGTTTTGGCCTCGGGCCTTATGTTATTAAACTTCTCAATGAAAAGAGCTCCTCAGCAGAACTTTCTCTTACACGGAGGCCGTGAAGCCATCCCTTCCACTGCTGGACTGAAATGCATCAGCAGGACAGGATGAGTTGGTATTAGCAGTGTCTGGGCTTTTCCTCTTTTATGGTTGGAGACCTTCATTTCCTGGTGCTTATATCTGTAGCCTTTCGCATGAAAGAGTATTAGCAAGTCTAGCAGAGGTGAAAAAAGAGCATAGTTAGCCCCAAACAGAAAATTTTAGACGAGCCTGAGAGTTTCTTTCTATTTCCAGTTTTTAGGAATACTGAGATTGGTCATTCTGGCCAACTTTTTATAGAATAGCAATGACTGTGAAATTTGGACCTGTAGCAAAGCCTGGGAACCTGAAATATTCTTCCCCATATTTTTGCTGTAGTTCAGATCATAGATATTGGTTCAGGGTCCTCTCTGGTGTCTATGGTATTTGATAGCTATAACAGCAGCAGACTGGATAAATTTTTTCCATAAACTTAACAGGTGTCATATAACTCAGCAGCAGCTTATTAAACTCTCAGTGAGGCTTGAAGTTGCTATCAAGAACTCTGGTTATCTACAGGGTATTGAGGGCTCTTTTAATCCACAAAGTGTCAGAAACAAAGTCTTGCTAGGAAATGCAACAACATCTTTTTTTCATAATGATGGCCTTACTTAGAAACTCAGATTTGGGAAAAATGAAAACTAGCTGGGTGGAAGCTACTGAAGCAGTGGTCAGCTTTAAAAGCACAACAGCAGAGTCTGACTTGTACTTAAACAAAAAATAAAAACAAAACAAAACTGAGATTTGGTGAAATGCCCAGCTCCACGCCCTAGCATGTAAAGTAATGCAAAAGAATAAAAGCCACGAAAGAGAAGAGGGGACAGAAAAGGAAACACCTCAGTTAAATTCGGTAACAACTATTCTACAGCATCTGCACAGGACCCGAACTCCCTGAAGCTCTTCTCAAAGCCTTCACAGAGAATGCCTTGAAGAAACGTGTAGACAAATGTCACCACTGGTCCACGCTCAGTAAGGCACACATGGGCCGTTTTCCACACCAGGATGTGATGTGGAAGAGAGATTTTTTTTGTTGCTTGAGTATGAGGATACAGTCCCTTATATACTTTGGAGAGGAAGATGGAATATTTAACTTCTACTTCTGTACCCACTAGAGAGGGATAAATAAACTGCAATCACTGCCTAACAGATACTAAAATATTGAGAACCACTTCTGGATACCTCTTGAGAATAAGATATAGTATCCCACTGAGATGCTGTAAGTATTAATCCTTTCTTTGAATGATTACCAATATGTTTTAAATGATGCTTTTAGAAATACAAATATTATAATGCATGTTTTCCTCATAATAATAACTTTGTTCTGAATTTTGAGCCAGGACTTCAGGAACTGGGTTAATGATAATGAAGAGGACAAATTTTCTAAAGTGTTGCTGATGGTGTAAGTACATTTTCTTTCCACTGGTTGCAGCGTACTTAGCTGGCATTTAAAAACTAAAAATTGTTTCTGACTTGGTTTTACTCTGTATTCAAGGGCTTCTCCGACAAGGTTAGTACTTCCCAATCTCACTAAGTGTTGTTCAGATAACTATAATTAGAGTGTGATGTATTCGGATAATGTGATAAGGGAGGGAATTGTAGTGCCTAAATGAAGATTAAGCTTTGTTTTGGGGTTTGAGATCTCAAAGTACATAGAGTTTTCAACAGTAAATCAAAGTAGTGATCCCAAATTCTGATGACATACTACCTTCTCCTTGCTCTTTCTCAAATAATCCTTTAATAATCCTGCCTGTCCCATTGCAGAATTGTTCACTAGGGTTTTATTTTTTTGATGACTGAGAGCGATAGTTAATGCTATAGGATGTAATTGCTTATTAACTTTGTTTGTGGCCATGTATTACATGATCACGTTGCTGTTGGCCATACCATCAGCCATGTCTTTGAAACAACCATTTGCTGTGGTTGGTATTTATCAATGACAACATTCCCCGATGCCCTGGAAGTGTTTGCACAAATCAGCACTGGAAGACAGAGCACTTAAATGTCTGACAATATTTGTCAAGGCAGGCTGTACTTTTCTTTTCTCCCTCCCCTAATCCTGAAAACTATATACAACAAGATCTTTCCATAACATTAGTGTTCTGTTGTCATTTAAAATAGGTTTCCACCATGCAAGACGCTAGCAGCTTTGCAGCAGAGGACCTTGTCTGCGGGGTACTTCTGTCAATAGCAATTTTTATCTCCTTGCTCTGAGCACGAGCTTACGGGAGGCGATATCTGATAGCAGTGGGAGACACATGAGGATAGATGGGTCAAGCTGCTGCCTCCTTCTCCATCAACAGCTTCTGCAGAGCTATTGCTCAATTAACTATTTAATCTTCCAGCCCTCTCGTCTGCCCTTGTTGGGGAGACTATGCAGTAAAACATCAGTTTTGGGACTTGATTGAGAAGTCTTTCTTGTTTTCTCATGGGATGCCAGACATTGTGACCTCCTTGGATCAAACTCTCCCCTGCCAACACGCCACATTCTTGTAGCTCTTGAGCAGCTACAGATACTTAGTGCGCACACGTGCACGCTATTAATAGAGTTAAGCAGGGTTTTCTCCTGAGGGGGGTTATACTGATGGAATGAGTGCTATGAATGTCAGCTGCAGAAGTCGTTGCGTGGCTACAGCAATTACCTGCGGGCAGGTAAAGACCCCCCATAATTGTCCAGCCGAAAATCCCACTAACCAGCTGATTTCTTTTGGGCAAATGTGGGTCTTCTGGGATGGTTTGAAGATGTGGAAGGAAATGATTTTCAAGATCATTTGACAGCAAGAGCTTGCAGATACAGGGAATACAAGTTGCAAGGACCTGACCATGTATTAAAAATAAGGCAGTTAGTA